TCTCGGGCCCAGAGTCGATCCTTGTTGACGGAGGCATGTAAACATTCCAAGTTGATAATTCTTTTTGTCTTTATTCTGCCTCATATTCTGGGGCTTTTGTTAGTTCCTTTTATCATATTCAAAACAGTGTTACTGCTCTATTTAAAGAAGTGTTGCTTGTCTACTTTTTCCACCTACAGATACGTCTATGCCTGCTGGTGCAGTTGCTGGCAGAATTTGCGATCACATTTGTCGTCCGCTGCTTTTTATTATCATTTGCAGTAGGCTATTTTCAGAAACAATCCAAACGGGAACACAAGATGGAAGGATCCTATCAATTGAGGGAGGAGTCATCCGGAAGGTGTTCAGATTTGGATCGATTGACCCTGAACTATGCGGTAGCCTTTTTCAATATTTCTCCGTGATTTTGAAATAGCAGGCAATGTCACATTGTGACTGTTGATTTGGTTTTTGCATAAACCGATAGTGAGTGACATGCCCGATAATGCGAAATTCAGACTGCCGTGGTCACACTGATTCGCTGGTGCGCTATACGTTGAGTTGTGTCAGCCAGATAAAACTATCAGATTATTTATTGCTTTTTATTTGCAGATGGTGGATTCGATAGCGAAGCGAAGTGTGGTCGGCCGCTCGGCTTGCGCCGTATGAATGCTGAAAATACACTTGCTGTGGATACACATACGGGCATTTATATGATTAATTTCGCGAAAGGTAAAGTTTTTTTTTTTCATTCTTTTGACATGGTGTTCTGTTGTCACTTTGCTTTTTCAACTTTAAATTAAATTTTTCCATGTTCGAATCTATCCCGTGCATCGCTTTCTGGTAAAGTGAAAATTGAATATGCGTGTTTTATCCGGACACACGCATTTACGAGAAGAGTTCATGAGAAACTCTATGTGTTGTCATTGGTCTGCTGGCGACCTATCTTACTTCCCAAGGCCTCTGATGCGGGCGCATTTGCGTACCGATCGAATGGTGCGGTATTCTTGCCATGTGCCGTCAACAGATTGGGTTATTTAAAGCGTAACAGTGGAATGAGTTAGTTATGAGCAGAAGTCGTTGCTCAGAATATAAAAGCAGAGTCCGTTGAGTTTTGAAGGCAGCCTGTTTTGCTGAAGTTGGTGATCGGGAATGTTGCTGCCAGCAATTTCTGCTGAGTGATAACCTGGGACGATGATAAAGTAACTGGGAACCAAAATTTCGTCAACAATGAAGTTGTCAAGCGGTCGTTTGCTAACTGCTTTTATGTAGTTTCAAGAAAGTCCATTTTAAGGGCAGCATACAATGATATTACGAAGCGGAACTGAAGTGAATGGGAAGCCTTTGAAATTTTTGAACGACATCGAAGTGGTGAACGATGACGTACTGTTGTTCACGGATTCATCCACTAGATGGGACCGGCGCTATGTAATGAACATACTGTTGGAGGGAATCCCCAATGGCAGGTACAAGAAATAATTCAGAGCCTTAATAATGCTAAAATCGTTGGCATGAGGTAGGGCAGGCGCAAAAAAAAAAAAAACTCTATCAGTTTGCATGAAGCACAAATGAAGTGTGCTAGAGGAATGCAGAATTTGTTTAAAGAGAGTGAAATACTGTCAAAATGTTGACTGAAAGATATTTTACTGCTTTAGAGGGATCAGAAATGAGTCCAGAAGAGGTAGGTTTAGAGCCTGGGGCACTAACCAGTTATCATAATTTGACATTCCGATCAGCTGTAGTTCCATCGTTGCGTTCTCTTACAGTCATAGTATTTTAAAACAAAACGAATAAAAGTAAGACAACATCAGAATCTACCATTTGGTGCAGGAACTACAACCCCTCAACAAACTAGTGGCCGATCTCCATAGCGTAGCTTCATCCCTTGGTGTTAAAAACACAGAATTCTTGAAAATTACTCTTTCCATACAAAAAACAAGGAATTCTTGAAACTTCAGGGTACTGCGCATGACACGATCAACTGGGCAAATTGAAACTGTTATGGATAGGTTGTTTTTTGCCAACGGTATCCAGTTGTTTCCCGACAAAGAATCATTCTTGGTTGCTGAAACAGGAGCTGCTCGAATTAAGAGGTTTCGCAGTTTTGACTTGAACTGTTGGTTGCTAGCTCTTTTGCCCTCTCCGCTTGTTCTTTAGTCGGCCTTTTTAGGTCTGCTAAATTTCCGCGCAGATTTCCTCTTTTTGCACAGGAAATTTGTATTCAAAAAAAGTCGACGGCCCTCTACTGAGACTTATACGACTTTGTCTGGAAGAATGTGCATAGCAGAATTAGTTCATGAATCACAAGTTTTTGCTCAGTTTGCGGTGTTCTTCAACTCTTTGTTGCTATTTTCCCTTTTGAAAATGACTATTTTTTATTTTTCCCCCATTTTAGAACACATAATAATTGCTTGCGGGGGGAGGGGAGGGAGTAATTTCATCTTGCGATCTTACCGAACTTACAGATTTTGTCGCCGGGCCCCTGAGATTCTGTACAGTACTTTCGGCATTTATAAGCTGTTTTAGGTACTCTCGGGATTTTTCAAAAATGTTTGCTAAAAAAATGCATTCTGCTTGAAAAACACATCGCTTTTGGTTGCGTAAGTACGAGC